TTGGCCAAGTGGTTGTTCTCCAGATTTCTTGGCACAACTTGGTGAGCACATCCACGGCAGCTTCTGTTAGCTGAAATATGTCAATTGGTATGCCATCTATTCCGGGGGCCTTATTTTTTGCTATTTCCTTCAGAGCAGCTTGAACTTCTGCCTCCATCACCATAGGCTCTGGGTCAAATGCTATTTCATGAAATTCTTCTGTATCTGCCAATTCCTTTCTATACAATGACTCAGTATATTCCTTCCATCTTCTTTTAATACTTCCTGCATCATTTAACATTCTGCCTAAAGCATCCTTGATTGTAGCAACTGGACACATCACCTTCCCTTCGGAGACAGTACAAGTAAACTTAAGAGACACTGGACACAGGAAAAAAAAATCTCTCTGACAAGCTGTCAAGTCATGGGTCGGACAATGGGACACTAATTCTGAAGGCATTTGGTAGAAGTGAAGTGGTATCCTGCTGGAGGGTGGAGCTGGGAAATAACAGGGTCAAGGCCCTGGGCTAAGGGCAGGGACTACACTGTAACTAATGGTCAACTCCAAAATGAGGGGTTTATCTTTCACTACTCCACAAATTGCTGTCTGTCAGATACTCCTCTAAGTCTAAACATTCAGATTAAGACAGACTAGGAAGAAGGATTGGCCATTCATTTCTGAAATGGCAGGCCTCTGAAAACCCTATGTACAACACAACAATGTACAACACAATCATTATCCTAGATATTTTAAAACTGAAGTAACTATGGAGATGCTCAGAGGGCTACTGGAGATAGGAGTCTTTACTCAAGAGATAATCATCACTGGAAAGGTATAAGGAAAATATTATTAATTAAAAGCCAGTTGCTATTAAGTCAGTTCTAACTTCTGAGGATCCTACATGTATCAGAGTAGAACTGTGAGCAATAGGGTTTTCAGTGTGGATTTTCTGAACTACCAATGCTTTTTCCAAAGCAAGTGAACTTATGCTCTTAATGCTCAATTAGCAGTCCAACATGTTTATACCTTCTAGGACCTCTTATTAATGTTTAAAAGACAGATATACTCACAGAAGTAGGTAGTTAATACATTCAACCACTATCTGAAAAGCCTGGGGTTCAAGTCTACCCAGAGTCACCTTTTGAAAGATCTGGAAATCTTCCAAAAGTCAAAAATAGAAAACTCCATGAAATATACAGGAGCTCTGCTGGCTTAGTGGTAATAAATTGCACTGCCAAAGCAAATGTATTCAGTTTGCATCCACCAGCTGCTCTGAGGGAAAATGATAAGTATTCTCTTCCCATGTGCTTTACTACCTCTGAAAACTTATTAGAGGGTCAACTATTAGTTGGTTTTGACTTGATGGCATAAAACAACAACAATGGAATACATACTCTGCTCTATCCCATGCAGGGTCACCATCAGAATCAACTCAATGCCAACAGTTTAGATTAGTAATTGTTCCTACTAGTGGTTTGTCTATGGCTATTTTTGTTTCTTGGTTTGTCCTAGAGTAATAATTAAAAGTTCCTGCTTTCATTTTCTTGAAAGTGTGTCAGTTAAAAAATAGATTATATGATTACTCTGAATATTAAGTATTATACTCATTTAATCTAGTTAATTTTTTAGTTAATATAATGGGTATGCTTTTACTCGGGGTGTCTGATTACGTTGTTGTTGTTGTTGCTGTTGCTAGGTGCCATCAAGTTGAGTACAACCCATAGTGACTATGAACAATAGATCTGAACCCTGTCTTTTCCTGCACCATCCTCACACTTCCTGACACACTTGAGCCCATTGCAGCAGTTACTGTGTCAGTCCACCTGGTTGAGAGTCTTCCTCTCTTTCACTGACCCTCCACCTTTTCAAGCATAGAACATTCATTATTTGTTGAGTTCTAGCCAAATTATTGGTGTCCCTGCTGTTCCATGACAGAAAGATAGCAGTCTCCTCTTGTGAAGATTTATGAGGCTTGGAAATCTGTTGGAAAGTCAACATGAACTGGAATTGGCTTGACAGCAGTGAGGTCTCCAGTGTATCCTTAATGAAGTTCATTGCCAAAATAGTCTGACAATTTTTAATATCTGATTTGTACAAAGAGGATCCATGCTGAAGTAAATAACTCACATATTTGTATTGATGCAAATTAGCCTCATGGTTTATCATTGTAGGGTAGTTTGTGCTTTATTTTTCTTAAAGTTAGATACACCTGTTTTACCATGTGCCCATATTCTCCTATAAAAAAAACTACAGAGGAAATAAAGCGTTCAAATAAGGCAGTACAATATATCAAATCAAGTAATCTATTTTGTCATGTTAAGTAGTAAACTGTTTTCCATTATTGCTAAATGAATCTACTTTAACGTTTTCAAAAAGTCTACGTCTATACACTTTAAATATATATAAATGTTTAATGTATAATTATGTTTATACTTTGCCTTAAAAGTATATTACATATAAAAAATATGTAAGGATAACACATTAAGGAAATATATAGAATACTGATGTCATACAGTGCCCTCTGGTGTTGGTTTAAAGAACATATATTTCCAAGAAATTTGGCACTTTTTAGAAGTTAGTTTAATGTTATCTTATCAAAAAGAAAGTTAAATAAACGTGGTAATAACAATGCATTTTACCCTTGAAGAGTTATGATAAAATAAAAGACATAGGAGCATTGTACTTTGCAAGTATAACCCAATTAAACTACATTAAATTTTAACTCGATAGAAATTTTTAGATATGTATGGGTTGTGTTTTTTAAAAAACAAAACAAAACACAAGCAACTGGGAGGAAGACATCGAGGGTACTTACTGTTTTTCATTATGTAGTTTTAAGATGATGGTGAATATTTTTCAACTTCTTTTCTACATCATTTTAAAATGCCCATAAGTACTGTTTCTCTGGGAAGTGTTAGGACAAACTAAGAGGAAGGCCAGAATTGGAGAAAGGAAACCAATGACTCAAAGCACTATGTCTGATCAGAGAGCCCAAGAAGTGACCGATGGTGACATTCCCACTCTGCAGGGCACTTTGCAACTCTCAAGTATTGCTCTGTGTGGAGGGCCTCCCAGACTCTGTGCCATAAGAAAAAGAACCTGACCAAGAACTTCCTGTGCCTTGTGCTTGTTTCGCTACCATTTCTGCATTCTCACCTTTGATCCACCGCCAATAACTACTTTCCATGGTGTCCCCAAGGCTGCTAATCTCTGTTGTAGGCGACTGCCCGCCTTTCTCTTGCAGAGAGGCTGGCTGACTCAAACTGTCAGACTTTCTGCTAGCAGCCTGATACATTAAGCACTATGTCGTTTAGGGTTCCTTGGATCATACATGGGAAGTGTAAAACATTCCAGGGAAAACCATGGAATATTTCTCTAGTTAGAACACTGGATAAAGGGAGGAAGCTCTGAGAAAGTCTGCCCTATGCTGGAGACATGGCACAGTAGGCCATTTAGCACTCTCAGTGACAGGTCATCCCACAGCGTCCTCAGGGACTATAGTGCTTTGTTACAGAGCCGAATCTAAAAAGCACCAAGTGAGACAATCGGGTATTTCCCACATGCCAGACTGAAGAGGCCTTTCTCCCCTTAAATATGACCTTCATGTCGGTCTTTCTACTGCCAAAAGGTAGTATCCACACCCACACTGTACCGAGAGAGCTGTATCCTGGCCTTGACCAATATCTGTGCTCATAGATTTGCTTCCCACCTTAACCACATACACATCAACACTGACACCCACCCACCCTCTTTCTTCAGAAGCCACAATTGAGTCTGGATTTAATTTTCCCAAGTTCCACTTAGGTGCTCTTAAATAGAAAGTCTCAAGAGAGAGAATGAGGTCAGCTGCTAGAAGAGAGAGTTCCAGTCATTCTGAGCTGAATCAGCTATTTGCACAAAAGTGTCGTCCATGTCGACGAAGCACTGAAAACAGCATTCTGACCAGTAAGCATAATCCGTTAGTTCTCTGGCATTTAGTTACAGCAATGCTTGGACCACCCAGAAGTCACTGGCTGCAGGGATTCCGTCAGGGTCTGCCTACTTGCTCTGTAGTTTTCTTTTTGAAACTTTAAGCTTTTTAGTCAGCACAATATTAAGCTCATCAACAGACTTGGATCATTTCCTGGGCTGGCATCTTGAGGTCCAGTAGAAATTTAAAGGATAAATGGCACATGAAACACACTGGTTTGAGTTGTACTGTGATTGATGGTATGGGAATGGGACTGTGATTGATGGTATGGGGATGTGATTCTCACACATTCTGCAGTTCAACAACTACATATCACATCAGCCTTCAAGTATGATTTCTGAGACCATTTTATATGTTAATAGAAGTTTCACATGCCAGGAAAGTGTATATTTTATGGGATATATTATGCTCACCTAGCCCCAGATGCTTATATACAGCGTGCCTTTCTCATACATTTAACTTGGTGTTCATGCGGATTTATTTGTAGGAAAATCAAGCTTCCAGAAAGGGTCAACTGATTCAAAAGGAAACCATGGATACCACTAAGCATGTGACTCAACTTGTTGAGCAAGCCCATGCCATGAAGGAGAAAATCCAAGGTAAATAGATCCTTTACTGGTTCAGCTTCATGTCAATCAACTGGTCATATTATTAATGATAAAAAAAATAGTGGTTACCATCAGCACATAGGCCAGGAACTGGAGTAAGAACATTACATCTTTAAACTTATATGATGTCTTAATTTCAGCTTTATTTATCTGGATTGTCTGAACACTCATCCCTGCTGTTTGTTGATTTTTAAGAATAAATGGACAGAGTCATTCCTGTTTCAAGCATTTCATAGAAGCAGGTTATCAGTGTACCCCTTCTGCAAAAGGAAGTACATGCTGTGGTTTTCCTAAAATGTGATAATTGACTAGCACTCCACATCTTCCTTGGATATTTGCAGAGAAAATAGTGCATTCAGTGAATGGCAGTAAGCTGTTAGCAGATCTAAAACCTCTTAAACGGTTTGGATTTTTTATTCTTTTCCAAGGACCAAGCTAAGCTGGCAGCAAGCAATCTTAAGGTCGTGGGCATAGAAGGGAGGAGACTCTGAGATTCCTTTGCCCTAAACTGTGGTGGCAGGTTTTAAATGCTCTCTTCATGGTTTAATTATTTGTGCTCTAACTTCAAATAAGTACAGATTGCATCTTGAAGGAATCCGGGAAGTTGGCCTTCAATTTGTTGTTTTTGTTATTACTGTTATTTTGTTGTTGGAGTTATTGTTATATGCCATCAAGTCGCTTGTGACTCATAGCTAGCCTATGTACAACAGTTCTGAACCCTGCGTTATCCTGCGCCAACCTTATTGTCTCTGACATGCCTATCCCCATTACCCCAGTCACTGAATCAATCCATCTCATCGAGAATCTTCCTCTCTTGTGCTGTCCCTCCACCCTCCCAAGCATGATGTCCCTCTCCAAGGACTGGTCATTCCTTGAAACATGTTAAAGTATGTCAGACAAAGCCTCAGAATCCTTTGTCTTCTATTTATCAATTATTGTTGTTGATTGCCATCTAGTTGAGCACAACTTATAGAGACCCTATGAACAAAAGACCTGACGCCTTTCTAGTGATAACCTCATTCAGTCAAGAAATAAATGTTTATTTAGACAGCAAATAAAGCTAATACTCTATAAAACTATCTAAATGGTGTATCTTTGGTGTTATAATCCACATTTTTACTCTATGATTTTAAATCCTTTTCTTTATTTTACTTATAAAAAGGTATATATTGGAGGCAATGATTTTTGTCATCTTTTTGCCTTTTAAAACCAATATACAAACAAGCCCAGAGATCATTGGGAGAAGTGTTATTGTCTGTATTTCCTTCTATAATCTATTCCATGTATGACTAAGATAAACAGATTATTATTGTAAATATAATACTTGCACCAAAATGCCCAAGAATTCTGCATTGCAAATATAGAGGTGAAGGGGGGGGATTCTTATTTCATAGTTAATATTTTAGACTTATTCTTAAAAGTAGAAGTTCAATCTTTTCATGGTTTTTTTTCCTTCCAACATATCTATTTTCCTATAGCTTTCTTAGGAATATTTACAGCATTAGAAACTTCTTCCCACATTTATCTTTGTTCTTTTAGAATTCTAGAATGTTGTACAACACCAATGGTGTACCATTTATTATCCCCAGCCATCTTTACGATTACTGCTAGTGACCTTCATGCTATTATCCATATAAAATACAACCCATATCACAGTTTGATTTATGTGACATCAGTGTTTGTTTACCTATCTTGTCTGGCCAACCACATAGATCATAGCAAACCACAGACACACAATTTCATTTATGCCAGGAAGATAAAATACTTTCTCTCATGGATGCCATGGGATAAGATGGCAGTAACATAATTTTCTTCTGATTATATTTAACAGAAAAAGAAAGTCTGAGAACAATCCTATTCTACTGCTGTTTAGACAAGTCACTTCATCGCTCAGAGCCTCAGTAACTCCTTTCAAACCTAAAATTACTCATCCTATTTATGGAAATGGGTAAATATTGTCCAGAATCAAAATTATTCCATTTGACAGCAGATACATATACTATTACTATATCTATTTAAAGATAGCTAATTTTAGGTACGTTGGTTAAAGACTTGAGAGATTCACTTGAGTAGCTATCAGCATGCATTTTGACCTAGATCTTGACTTAAATAAAGTTAAATATCCTCAACGCAACTTCCATATGACAGGCTGTGCCTCAAAACAGTTTCTCAAAAGTATTTTATAAAATAACAACAACAAACCAATCAATCAAAGGCCCCATGATGTGTAATCCTTAAACACTGAAGTCCTCAAAGCATGGAACTAGCTCAATGTAGTGAAAGCAGGACAAGTTTGTGTTAGCCTCATTCCCACTCTGGAATCACCTAGTGGAAAAAAGGCCAGGTGCTTCCTAGATTACACTATGCCCTGGAATAAGTGATGAACTCCAATACAGTTGCCGGTGTTTCAAGTGTGGACATCAATGTCTTTTAACTAGTATCTCTTTTCTGTTTTAGGATAAGGACTCGCCTGTTCCCACCACCTTCACTTCGATGGTCTTCATTGTGTCCCTATAAAATTCCCTCTCCCTCTGTCCCTGATGCCTCATTTCATCATGTTCTTTTTATCCAGAGATCAACCACAAGATGCTCTATTATGGAGAAGAGCAGGAACTTAGCCCTGAGGAGATCTCTGAGAAGCTGGTGTTGGCCCAGGAGATGCTTGAAGAGATTAGACGTCGCCAGCCATTCTATATACAAGAGGAGCTTGCAAATGAGGAAACAGATGAAGTCTATGAATGTAAATATAACTGACCGAGCAGATATTTGCTTTCTTTGTAGGTTTGGGAGAGAGCAGACACAGAGTCTATAGCATATTTGGCCAAAATAATCAATTCCTAGCATCCTGAGCTATTTAGAACTTAAATGAGCCCTTGAAATTTTTCAGATCAACTTGACTTTAAAAGCCAGACTTTTACATCCAACCTCAGTCTTGAGGAATCTAAATAGAGTTTTCTCCTGTGGAGAAGAAGTAGGAACAGTTGTTACAGGAACATTTCAAGCCAGCTCTGACCCACAGCAGCCTGAGGTGCATCAGAACAAACCCTGTCCAGTCCTGCACCATCCTCACAATCTCTGTGGTGCTTAAACCCCTCCTGATAACATGTCTAAAGTTTATGAAACTAAGTCTCACCAGCCTTGCTTCTAAGGAGTCCCTTGGCTGCATGTGTTCCAAAAGAAATCTGTTTATTCTTTTGGCCATGCATCATGTGTATATTTAATGCTATGTATAAAGATGAGAACCACTTTTTTTCTTCCAACTCCCCTCATAGTCTCGGAATTTTGCTTATTATTTATTTTAATCTAGTCTTCTGGGGGGGGGGAGGGGAGGAACTCAGAAGTAAATGTGTAATGGACCAAGATCAGGAGAAATGGTTTCTAAACCATGTTTAGTTTTGCAATGTCTTCAGGAAACAGACATCAGAGGAAAAATGTGCAGGGGCAGGGCTGGGTTGGAGTCACAGGTGGAAGTTAACCCTGGAACTATGTAGGGAAACTTGTACGGTGTGTGACCCAGGAGGTATCTCGGAATCTAAACAATGAGTGTGTACAGGAAATCCTCTAGACTACGGGTTCTTCATGGGGTCCAGGAAGTTCATAAACGTGGTAGGAAACAGATTATCTCTTTCTTTTCACTAACCCTAAACTGTAATTCAACATTTCCTTTAATGATGAGTGTATGCACTTAAACACAGAAGCATTGTCAAGACTATGCCTTAGTTTTGTATTTGTGTCTTTAATAAGCCACCCTAAAGGTATCCGTTTAAAATAATAGCTATTTATTGGCTCATGATTTCATAAGAAGGTAAATTGGCCAGAGCTCAACCTGGATTTGGTTCTCTCACATGTTTGAGCCTAGCTATAATGACTGGGCTTCTCTCTTTAAATGTGATCTTACCCTCAAGGAAACTCACCCACTTTGTTCTTGAGAACATTTAAAAAAACATAATGAAAGACTAATAGGGAAACTTCAAGGTGTCCTCGGGCTCAACCATTCTATTGAGATTCAAGGAGAAAGGAAATAGACTTCACCACTTTGTGGAAGGAACTACAAAATATTTGTGGCCATTTTTAATCCAAGCAATCAATAAAGAGTTGCATATCACATTTTAAGGAAGCACTAGTGGCCTTGTAGTAAGAAGCTGTGTTGAAATCCTGAAGGCCGACAGGTCGAATCCACCAGCTTCTCTGTGGGAGAAGGATGGGTAATCTCTTCCTGTCCAATTTACTGCTTCTAAAAACCATGAGAGGGTCAGCTATGGGTTGGTTCCAACTCAATGGCACATAACAACGACAACAAGAACATCACATTTTAATTGTTTCTGATACTGCCCAGTATTGCTTTAATTCATTGACAGGTCAAACTTATGGTAATTATTTGACTCACCTCACACAAACTCAAAATTCATTGCTGTTGGGTGCATTCCAACTCTTTGTGACACTGTCAAAATTTCCAACACGGTAAATCTTAACTAATCTTAATAGAAGACTGCCCATCATTGGAACCACCAGAGATGGCCTTTTGATTAGCAGCAAAACACCCTACAGAGTACACTACAGCCCCAGAGACCCTCTCATGGATCCTGCTTAGTTTTAACAAAGAAAATATATTACTATTTTATTGGATTTTTTCCTCATAGTGCTTTTCTTTTAATATGTATCTTCTCGTTGTTGTTGTTGTTGTGAATTGTAAAAATGGATCTGTAGGCTTCACTAGATTTCAAAGGGGCAGATGACATAAAAAAAGTTAAGAACACCAGAATTTGGTTACTTTCCTATCGTTGTCACTGACAACTTCTGCTAACAATTATTATGGATAGTCCAGAAAAGGAACACTTGTGACATAACGATATAGTATGATAGGTAGGACTTAAGTCTTAGAAACAGACAAGAGAATAATCCCTGGTTCTTGGTGAGTTCTGAATCAGGAAGGCTGGTGCTCTAATATTACAGCAGATGTCTCCAAGCTTGCCTGCTCTGGACTTCAACAATACTGCCCTGAGGAAACAAGTCACACATCTCACTGAGCAGCGTTCAGCTTTGTGACTGCATTTCTAGACACTTTTTATACTAGCTCATGAACATGGATAGACTAATCATATTGGTGAAAGAAAGTATTGTCTCAATAGGACAGTTTGACAATCCCCAAAGAAAAAAGAAAATTAAGCCCAAAGACAATACCTGCGCTTTTTGAGCAGAGCAATACACACACACAGCCCAAGAATATGAGATTATTGTCATTTAATCTTCGTTACATCAAAAAGAGTTGAATTTGACCTAAATGAACATAGGAAATTGTTATTTATGAGCATCATTTAACCATATTATTGAAAAGATGCCTTTGATTCTTTTTCATAATAAAGACTATAGTATATTGAAGCATTGCTGGTAGCCTAGTGGGTAAGGGAGTATGCTGCCAGCCTAAAGGTAGACAGTTTGAATCCAGCAGTTGCAATTATCTACTCCATGGAAGAGAAATGGACAATCTCCTCTAGTGTGATTTACATCACGTGGAAACCAACTATCATCTATGAGTCGGCTCCAACTCCAAGGAACATAACAACAACATAGTATATAGAAGTCATCTTTGCATAGTAAGCTTATTAATATGGGTAATCAAAACAATATTATGGTAGGATTTCTACAGAATGGATAATCATCTCATACAGTTTCATATTACTAAAGGAGAGAAGCTGTGGCATGAATACTGACTAAATGATACACAATACATTGACTAAATGATACGCGATATATTGCTAAATGCTAGATGGAATGGGAGAGGACAGAAAGAAGACCAGACTGAATATCTGTCTCCTGTTCTTCCCAGTGTTGAACCTGGCTGAGAGTTGGCAGCGGCAGTACAATGACACCCGTTCCCTGTTTCCTGTTGTCCTGGAGCAGCTGGATGACTATGATGCTAAGTTGTCAGACCTCCAGGAATCACTAAACCAGGCCCTCAACCATGTCAGGGACACTGAAGACATGAATAGAGCCATAGCAGGCAAGCAGCGAGACCACAAGGTACTGTGGACACTAGGGATTGTAAAAATATTTTCATGCACAAATAGCATGAAATTACACACAAGAGAAGGGCAATTGTTATTTGTTTGTTAAATACTGGTGAATTTAAGTGTTAATTTTTTAAAAATATAAAAATACTGGTGCAATTATTATTTGCTATAGTGTTAATATAGTGTTATATTAGTGTGCATGCCTCATTTCAAGGTGAAAGTATTGTTACTGTTTAGTTTTTACATTGATAAGAATACAGTTATTTCTGGTACTCCACTATAAGTTCAATGGTTGTTAAAAAGTTTTGCAGTCTTGTATCCTTTTGAGAATTCAGTGAAAACTATGAAATATACCCAAACACAGTATTCCCTAGACCAGGAAAAGAAAATGTGCACTTGTTCATACACATAAGTTTGGCAGACAGGTTCAAGTAGACCATCTAAACTCTAAGTGATCAACGTTGCGCATATGAAAGAACCCTTTTTTCTCTACAGTAATGCATCCCTTAGCAGCTGTACTCCTAGAATGACCATAAAACTTCATCTCACTGGGAAATATCCACAAAATCCAATTCAGCATTAACTGCTGAGCATACTAAGTGTGTGTGGTATGTATTTAATCCCATCCACTCCCATTAGACTGTAAACAACCGAAGGACAAGACTCATGTCTTAAACAAATTATATCTTTTTAGCACCAAACATAATGTCTTACATGAATTTATGGGCAAATGCATAAAGCATTTTCAACTAACAGAGTAGTTTGTGTATAATGATTAATATTAATTATAAATTTTCATTTCATATTAACTTAGATCTCTAAATTATTAAACAATGTTATTAGCATTTTCAAGGGTTTTTATATATTTAAATGTCATGAAACTATAATTTCTTCCAATGTAATTTAAAACTCAACCTTTAAAAAAAACAAACCCCTCAACCTTTCATTTCTATAGTAATCTTTCCTATAGCACATTGCTTTGAATGGATCTGACTTTGGTAATGATTCTTGTAAAACCAAGAATAACCCATGCATAAATCACTTTGATGTCTGCAAACAAGAACAACACAGCTAACAATTACATTATTCATTACATCATCTACCATCCAACCTCAAAGTGTAACAGAATAATGAAAATCTTCATCAGATGAATATAGAATTCTCTATTTTAAAAATAGATGAACTGATCTTTAGGAAATATTGTTTAGATGTTTTTCTGCTTAGGTGTTTTTCTAAACCAAAACCCTCCTTTCCCAAGGCTATTTTGAATTTGTTTTTAAAGTATCAAATTTTTTTTCTTCAATTATTTTAAATGCATACTAAGCTGAAGTGAATAGTGTTAATTATGACATTTTCCTAATTACTGGTTCGCAAAACTTTCTTTTTTTCAAGTTGACCATTTTTTCCTAGGAATGTGATAATGTCTTTCAAAGTTAACTTTATTCTTCTCTGTCTAACACTGTCTGGGTATGATTGGTAGAGGAAAACCTTTTTTTTTAAAATTTTGGTGTGATTTAAGTATAAGTTTGTAGAGTGTCTTAGTTTATATTCAACAATTATTTCCTATTTTTTTTTTTGTGACTTTTGTTGTAATCTCACAGTGTAACACCATACATGGGACTTCTCTGTGTTTCCCATTTCCATTAATCCATCTTTCCTATCTCTTCTTCCCTCTGGGCAGGTGCTGCCCTTTTGATCTTGTATGGTTGATTATTAAACAAAGTACCTCCCTCATGTTATTGTTCATTGTATAAGCCTATCTATTGAAAGGGTTAAACCAGGCTACTCCTTGGAGGAAAGGATTCTGGGGCTTCGTCTGACATACTTTGGACATGTTGTGAGGAGAGACAGGTCCTTGGAGAGGGACATCATGCTTGGGAGGGTGGTGGGACAGCGCAGGAGGGGAAGGCCCTCTATGAGGTGGATTGATTCAGTGACTGGGGTAATCGGGATGGATGTGTCAGAAGCAATGCAATTGGCACAAGATAGAGCAGGGTTTAGGGTTGTTGTACATAGGGTCAAACGACTCGACAGCACATAACAACAACAACAACAACCTATTGAAAGTTGAACTAGGGAAGTGACTTTACTTCCAGGTTTGAAGAGTGACTGAAGTTCACAGTCTTAGGGGTTCCACCAGTCTTTATCTGACCAGTAAGTCTGGTCTTACAGGAAACTCTTTATCTTAAAGTATATCATCTTCCAGCTAACAAATTGCTTATTCGGCCATGCAGCTAGCATAGCTCTTTGAAGTTCAGCTACAACCTCAGGTTATTAGGAATTTTTGTCTTAAGGCAACCTGATACAAGAGCTTAGAGAAGGGGTCATATCTCAAACCCTTTAAAAGGAAAACTGCTGGTTAGAGCTAAATAATTCCAACCTTTTCTTCAATTTCCCTCCTTTACTTGCTTTAAAACTCATACATTACGTTGTTGCTTTTTTGTAAAGTAGCATATGTAACTTGCCTTTGTGGAGAGAGAAAATTTCCACTTCAGAAAGGCTTGATTGTATAGTGGGGAAATTGGTTTGATTTTATGTGTTTACAGATCACCTGTAGATGTGAATTGCCCACCTTTCCATTAGCCACTTGATAGGTTAAACACTATGCCACTAAGGTTCATTGTTCTTATATTAGGAAACTAAAATGTAATTCTTTTCTTTCCCTAAAACTATAGCTTGCCCCGTAGAAACATATTGAGGTACATGAATTTCATTCTTCCCTCACTGCAAATCCAAAAAGATTCCAAGGGAGTAGGAAAAGACATCAAGATGAACTTTGAAAGTTTTAAAATATTTCCTTCTAGATCTAAGGGTTGTATTTATTCCTGAAATATCCTGGATTATACAATAACACATATTTTAAATTAATATTTATAATGTAACCAATAATTTTTTCTCTATAGTTGTAAAATAGTCTTTTTGTCCCTTCACTTTCATTTTTATTTTCAAGTGCTGAACTCAATTGCAGTCCTACTGTATTGCTTTAGATAACAGTATTCCTACGTTTGAAATCTAAACACAAAAATACAAATGTTAATGTATGTATATATACAATATATGTTAACACTTGAGTAATTTTTCTATTCCAACAGCCTTATCATTTAACATAAACAGTTCAGAGTGGAATGATGTATAATCACAATATAATGTTTTTAAAATAGTGTCAAAGAACTCTGAGGCTAAGTTGTTTGACTGCCAAAAAAAAAAGGTTAGCAATTCAAGTCCACCTGTCTCTCTGTGGAAAAAAAGGCCTGGTCATCTACTCCAGTAAAGATTTGATCCAGAAAGTACAAAGGGGCAGTTCTCAAATCAATAAGGTTGACATGGGTTGGAATTAACTAATAACAAGAGTAGGCTGATTTGAAGTTTTTAAAATAATATTATAATTCTTTTGCATATGCCTTATTGTTCTTAAAATAGATAATCGGTGACTGACCAAAATATTCACTTGATAAATGCTTTTTAACAAATGAAATACAATTATATGTAAATATCATATATATAAATTTATGGAATGTATATGAACTCTTTCAGTGCAAGTGCAAATGTTAGAAGTTCTAGTTCATTCTGAAGTACTCTTGAATAAAGTCCTACTAGACAGTTCAGGACAGGAAGACCCTGGATGAGATGAATTGATACAGTAACTGGGTAATGAGGGTAGGTGTATCAGAGTCAGTGAGACTCAGGACAGAGCAGACTTCAGAGTTGTCACAGATGACTCGACATCATATAACAACAATTCATAGACATTTTAGGGAGCTGTGGTAGCCTAATGATAAGAAGCTGCAGTACAATGCCAAAGGCACACAGTTTGAATCCACCAGTGGCTCCATGGGAGAAGGAAAGCCCACCAGAGTGTCAACTATCAGTGATGGTACCATGACAGTACACAACAACAACATAAACATTTTCCTTCCATGCAATTTATAGCCTCAAAATCTCAATGGAGCATCAGCTATGAGTTGGTTCTAACTCAGTGACCATGAGTTTGAGTTTGTCTGACCTACTTTGGGCATGTTGTAAGGTGGGATCAGTTCTTAGAGAGTAACATCATGCTTGGGAGGGTGGAGGGACAGCGCAGGAGAGGAAGATCCTCGATGAGATGGATTGATTAAGTAACTGAGGTGATGGGGTAGGTGTGTCAGAGACAATAAGATTAGCACAGGATAGAGCAGGGCTTAGGGCTGTTGTACATAGGGTTGCTATGAGTCGCAAGTGACTCAATGGCACATAACAACAACAATGATATAATCTTATATAATAAATGACTTACCAATAAAATCCTCACAACTAGACCAATATGAAACATTGATGAAAAACAGAGAAAAGATTGATGTTGTCAATTTTTTCAAACTACCTGGATCAACAATCAACATAAATCCTGCTGAAAATTATCCAAAAACAATTGGAAAAGTACATTGACAGGGAACAAATAGAAATATAAACTGGGTTTAGAAGATGGCTTATAACTAGAGAACATTATCTCCAATGTCAAGTGAATGTAGGCCCAAAGCAAAGAGTACCAGAGGAATGTCTATGTGTGTTTCATTGACTATGCAAAGGCTTTTGACTGTGTGGATCACAAAAAAATTGTGACTAACCTTGAGGAGAATGGAAATACCAGAACACTTGACTGTGCTCATACAAACCCCATACTTGGACCAGGAAGTAGTCTTCAGAAAAAAAGCAAGAAAATACTTCATGCTTCAAAATAAGGAAAACAGTACATAGAGATGTATCCTATCTTTGTACCTTTTCAATCTGTGGAAACTAGGCTTTATAAGGTGTAGTGTAGCATCTGGATTAGAGAAAGACTCATCAACAACTTACATTATACAGATGATGCAACCTTGCTTGCTGAAATTGAGGAGGACCTGAAATGCTTGCTGCAGAAGGTCAAGGATTGCAACCTTCAATATGGATTGAAGGTCAACATCAAGGAGACAAAGATTTTCACCACTGGACCAACTGGCACCATGATAGATGGAGAAGAGATTGAGATTGTTAACAATTTCAGGTTGTTCAGCTCCACAATCAACATTCTTGGCACCAGCGGTCAGAAAATCAAAAGACAAGTTGCACTGGGAAAATCTGCTGACAGGGACCTCTCCAGAGAACTGAGAAGCAAAATTTCACTCTAGATACTAAGATCCAGGCAATAGTCTTCACAATTACTTGCTATACACTAAAAAGATGGACAATGACTAAGGACAGAAGAGTTGATGCCTTTGAGTTGTGGTGCTGGAGAAGAGTATTGGACATACCATGGACCACCAAGAGGACAAACAAATCTATCTTGGAGAGGATGAAACTAAGTTTCTCCTTGGAGGCAAGGATTTTGAAGCTCTGTCTCATGTATTTTGGGCACATGACCAGGAGGGACCAATCCTTGGAGAAGGATATCATGCTCAGAAGTGTGGAGGTACAGCATAGGAAAGAAGACTTCAGCTGTAATGAATTAATACAGTAACTGGTGTAATGGTGCGAGGTGTATTAGAAACAGTGAGACTGGCTCAGGACAGAGCAGGCTTCAGTGCTGTTGTACATAGGGTTGCTATGAGTTACAGGCAACTTGACATCACATAACAACAACAATAACAAAAATCCACATCCATGGAGGCAATAGTCAAAAAACAAAGCGATGTATGGCATCATACAAATCTGCTGTCAAGGACTTCTTTAAAATGCTAAAGAGCAATCATTTCATGTTAAAGCCTAAGGGACACCTGACCCAAACCATGGTATTTTCCATTGTTTCTTATGTATGTGATAGATGGAAAGTGAATATGAAAGACAAAAGAGGTGACAACTTTAAATTGTGGTATTAACAAAGAGCATTGAGTATACCATAGACTGCAAAAGAGAAAAGAAGAATCTGTCCTGAAGGAAGGGCAGCCCTGGTACTCCTTAGAAGCAAGCATAGTGAGACTTCATCTCACACGTTCTGTATCTATTGTTGGTAGGTTCCAGTCCCTCAAAAAGGACACCAGGCTTCAAACCATAGATACTCAAAAGAGAGGAAGATCCTCAGAAACATGAATTGATAGAATTGTTGGAAGTATAAGTTTGAGCTTATCAGAAGTTGTGAGGATAGAGCAGACTTGAAGAGTGTTTTATTGTTTATATAGTATTACTATTGGCTAGAGCCAATATAATGGCAGTATATGCTCCTTGGAATTTTGGAGAGGTCCTTGACAGCAGTCCTTTCAGCTTAATAAATGAAGGTGCACCTGATCCAATCCATGGTCTTTTCAGTTACTTGTTATGCATATGAGAGCTGGGCACTGAATAAAGATAATAGAAGAATCAAAGCTGCTGAGTTTTGGTGTTGGAGAATAGTACAAAATATCCCATGGAATTTCAAATGAATAAACAAATATGTCTTGGAGAAAGTGCAACCAAGGTGCTCCTTACAGGCAAGGATTGTGAAACTTCATCTCACATACTCTGGGCATATTGTTAGAGGAGTTGATAGTCTTTGGGGAAAGATCTCATCGTTGACAAGGTGGAGGACCAGTGAAAGAGGGATAGAAGGCCCTCAGCAAGAAGGATTGATACATTGATGGTAACAATTGGCTCAAGTGTATTAGAGAAGATGAGGATGGACCAGGACAGGGCAGGATACAGATCTGCTGTTCATAAACCTCTGTGGGTTGTGGTCAACTCAGTGGCACCTAACAACAACACAGCAACAATATAGTCATGTTTATTGTTATGTTATTAATATGACTATATATATACACACAGCTTTAGTTTGCTTGGCTCCATAGTCAACTGTCTTGGCACCAGCAGCCAGGAAATTAAAAGGCGCATTGCCATGGGAAAGTCTGCTGTTAGGGACCTC